GAAGCCCTGTTAGCTAGATGCCTTTGTGTTCAAACCACTTTGCATGACTCTTACTCTGAGTGATTCCAGTGTGAATATGACATTACTAATGATCTGCTAAGTGTGTACAGATGTGGGTCTCTCCAGATGTGGTGATTAATAACCTAATGGGGATAGCCAGTTGACTCACGTTTATGGGTTGTTTGCCTTTTATAACATTTCCGAGTTTATTTGCTTTGAACTATTTTTTAACCCCAGCCAACAAATATACCTTGACGTCTCAAAGGGCATCATCTCTTTAACTCTTATTGGAAAGCAGGGAAGAGGGAATGTGCCCCAGGCTGGAGCTGAGCGTTGAGTTCATCACACACAAGCATTGGACTATTCGGGAAAGCTGAAAGTTGGAATCGTTGCCCCATTTCACTTTAAGGAGCCATAAAGTGGCACTGGTGAACCCTGACACAGTGTTTGCAACCTGGCTAGGCTGATAAAGGGAGAGATTTCATAAGAAAAAAAACCTAGTGAAATACGTGATCGTTTTGAAGCAAGCCTAGAGTTCTGGCCAGTGTTTCTGGGAGATGTTGCCTCACTTTTGCTTCAAAACAGAATGCTGATGAAAAGTCGAGTAAGATGTTGTTACAGATGTTCAACTCTGCATTAAGGCTGTTGGAATTACCACCACATCTTAAATCAATTCCCAGAACATTGTCTGGAGGTTATGTCATTGAAATAATGAAGCCTCTTTAGTCAAGTATAAGCAAACATGTTAAAACATCATTGTAACTTTAAATTAAACTCTAGCGCAAACCAGGGGATCTGAAGCCTCATTAGACTTGCCTGACATTTTTCTAGCACTGAGTCTTCCCAAACTGTAAAACTGTTAGATTCAGTGCCTATTAGACAAGGGAGCACTGGGAAGTTACAACAGCACATTAAGTGTTATACTTAGGGATGTGCAAAAACAAGCCCTTGAATTTTATGAGTACTTGGAGACTGGATGGAGTTCAGCTCCTATAAAAATTCCACGTTAGGTTCCTGAACTTGTTTGTGTGGTAAAGAAGCTGATAAGTCAGGTTTCTTTAAAGGACCACATCTTTATGGCTTCCACAGCATGAAGGCTGGTGAAAATGCTGGAGGTAGAGGTGTATTGCAATTAGCCAAAATGTAGGTTAAATATGAGCCTGTAAATGTGCATTGTCATGAGGTAGTGGCCCATGACTTCACCACGTTTGTCTTCAATGAAAGTAAGTAAATTTGTCTCCCTTTTAATTCCACTTTTATTCCTCTCATGTCGTTGCAGAAGCCATGAAGGGAAAATTATATTTTATAGCTTAACTAAAAGTTTTCCTAGATCTGCTTTCTTTAAATATGCAGAAATTGATAGAATCCATATAAAGAATAATAATTAAATATGGTTTATTTCCTACTTATGAGAAAGAAGTTATCACTGCTTCTCTTGTGGGACCTAAGCCATATGTAATGGTCTGCATTACATGACGTTCATATATTTAAGCTGGAGACATTTCCTCCCCATCTCTTCAGGGAACAGATTTGCATTTCCAGGCTGTGAGTGCAGGAGGAAACCTTTGAACACAAGTTTCATTTAAGAGAACAAATCCCAGTTAAAATGCAGTATGATTATGATGGATGATCTTTCTGAGTTGCAGTGAAAATAGTTTCCTTGCATAGAAGAAGGCATAACTTTACTACCAACATGAGGTGTCTCCCTGGAGCTGGCTAACAGGTATTAACTTGCAAGTCTCTCATCTGAAAATCAGTGCAGGTAAACAGCCAGCAACAAGGACTAACGATGGTCGGCGCTTAACCAAAGAAGATTATTTATTATAGGCCCAGCATAAATGGGTTAGCAAAAGTTAAGCAGAAGAGTCTAACAGCAATGCCAGTGAAGGTGACTTCTGTTCGGGTCTCAACTAACACGGACTCATTGTATATAACTGGACATAACCATGGTAACTTCTGGCAGCCTTGAATAAAGCTACCCAAGTAGACTGGGTTAGATGAAAGACGTTTTTGGATATTGCATTATAACCTTAGGAAGTCTTGTGTGACAGAGAAGAACAGAACTTGCATTCCCTCTAGACCTAGTCACTTGCACACACATAAACACACACATGGTATTTAGTCCAGCAAGCTACACAGCTAATCTAGGTCACCCTGAACACAGTACAAAAGTTGCAAGTGGTCCGTACTAAAATGTGACTTTGTATTATGGGTGGAGTCAGTGCAAGACTTCCTACTCCATCCTAAAAAGGGGAATGTGCAGAAGGATAGTACACACAGACACTTGCACACACACACACATACATGTACACAGTTCTTCCCCACTATTGCCTTGGACGCCCAGTTTCCCTATCCGGTGAAAGGAAGATGAATTCAGGTCAAGCTCAGAGTGCCTGTTTGCTTGCTGGAGATGCATATCAAGTCTAAGTGATTTTTTTCAATACCATTTATGTGGCTCGTATTTATTTCCTTTAATCTTTTAAGTGCTGTTTAGTCTCTGTGTGATTTGCTGTGGATACTCATTTCTGATAAGATGCGATATCCTCCCAGCCACATAGTCCCCGCCTGGAGCACTAAGTGACTGATACAGTCTCAGGCAGCCGAGTGGGGGCCTGGGCAGAGAGGGCGCAGGCGGTGGAGTGAGAGGGCTGTGGGCGCTCACAGGTGCAGTGAGCGGGCTGTGGGCGCTCACAGGTGCTTTCTCGTCTTCATGTTTTCTATCGCTCTCACCTCACACCACTGTCTTGTTCCCTTTCCCTGCCTCAGCCAGGGTTTAGACAACCCCTCAGACTGACAGCAGAATAGGGGAGTTGGAAAAGTGTGATGCTTTGAAGCAGGTTTGGAGGGTAGCTGTATTATTATTATCTCCTTGGAACCATGTATCATAACCTACTACATTAATTTAGGGTTTTCAGGGAAGTACCATATAATGCATGCTCTGATTTGGATCTTCCTGGATAACACCAAGTAGCTGAGATGGCATTTTTTCCCCCCGTCTAAGACTCATGCACCATTAACATATATCAAGCTTCTTTTGATGTCATCACTGC